GTTCTGTATGTGTGTGTGTGGATGTGTCAGCTTTCGTCCTGGAGTAACTTTTCAAAGGATGCTTAGCTAACAACGTTGAAAGATTATGGAAACTGTGTCTCTTTCAGGTAGTAGGTTATTTTTTGTTTTCAGTCTAGTTTTTGTTTGTTTGTATGTTTACATTCTTTCTCCAGAGCAAGGATAGGTTGACTGGAGGCTTCTTTATGAGATAGAAGGATCCCTTAAGTTTAGGATTTCTCACCTGTAGTACAAACCCACTGTGTGCAGACTTTCTGCCAGGGCCTATCTCTGCATCATCTCTAAGTGATTTGATGCCGTGGGAACCAGTACAAACTTGCAGTTCTTGCTGCTTGCTGTGCTGTATTAAAATCACCTACCCTTGACCTCAGAGTCTTGTACCTTCTTCTGGCATCCATGAAACTATGGAAGGCTCTTTTATTAACCTGCAAGCAGGGTAAAATCTCAGATGTTCGGTGCTTCTTAACAGAGGTATAGCTTCTTTCCAGTAAGCATTCATCCTTTATAGGTTTAAAAACAGGGCTTGAGATGTACCTTCGTGATAGAGTGCCTGCCTAGCGTGCAGAAGGCTTTGGTTCAATTCCTAGCACTAAAAGCAAAGTTGTGAAACCACGACCACAGTCAGGGCGTGCAGCACTCTTATCATCCTGGAGACTCCGCTCATTTCCTCTTCGCAGTCACTTGTCTCTCTGATTCAGTCCTAGGCAAGCACTAAGCAGAATTCAGTACACCTTATTCTTGCTATTTTACTTTTATAGTTATAAAAGGAATTTTGAAAATTATTCAGAGTTGAAAAGGAAAAACAGGAGAAGAGCTTGGCTCTAAGCAGTGAGCAGGATGTTGGCAGTAGAAGTGAACAGAAGAGGAGGTAAGGAAGAACCGACGAGGCTTTGTGGACTCAGAGTAGGCAGACGCGCAAATGACAGGCCGTGTGAAAACTCCAGGAGGCGGAGAAAGTATCAGATCGTGTGACTTTTAATGTGAGTATTGTAGACTTACGGAGTGGGTGCAAACAGCCATGTCCTGGAAGGCAAGCAGAGCTTGTGGGGGACAGGAAAGGACAAGAAAGATGACTTAATCCAGCAGTCCCCTGTACTTTTTGTCAGCTCCACCCTGGAAAAGTACGTCTTTCTTTTCTCTACTCAGTTGTGCTATGTTTTTGTCATCATATTTATTACTTCTTTTGACATCAGCATCCAAATTTTGTTGTTTGCTCATTTCCGAGTTACCCTGTAAATTTTATAGACTGCTTAAAGAGTAACAAAAAAAAGTGGCCACCTCCTAGACACTAATGATTTGAAGAATGAAACAGCGAGTTTGAATTGTTCTTTAATAAAAAAGTTTTCCTGTCCCAGGAAAGGTAGGGTTGTAAGAAACAGAAATAAATCAAAGAATATTTTAGAGCTAAAATGGAATATGATAGGGAGTCAAAGGCAGGAAACACACTGGGCCCCAAGGCAGCACTGTGTGGAGTTGAGTGACCTGGGCTGTGGCCTAGAGCCCCTGGAGAACTGGAACAGAAGACCATCGCCAGTCTTTCCCTTCTCTGCTCCTCCAAAGGTCTGTGAATGTCACCACCTCTCACCTTGCTTTATTTTCTCTTGATTCATCCATCTGTGTATGGTGCGCCCAGACACCTGAGATCCTCTAAGTAGTCAAGTCCCAGCTTTGATTCTGCAGGCTGGGCCAGCCCCTGCTGGTAACCCGGTGTCCAGTCATCCAGATTTCAGCATGGGCCCAGCTGGTGTGGCTGGCGTCCAGCCCATGGCTCAGAAGCAGCTTCTTTCCTGTTGGCAGTGATGAGCTATTCTGTTGTACTTCTCTCTGAGTTTCTAGTTAAAATATATAGTTTCATCCTTGCCATTAAAATTACATGAGTGTTGGGGATACTCAGGGAAAACACCACCATTGTTTTTTGGAAACTTTCTCAAATTGGAAATCATTAGTGTAATGTTTCCCAAAATGTCTCTTGCTGAATGTATTCTCAAATTAGACAAGATGAGTTTAAATAAAAAAATGCTAGAGGCTCAATGATACTGAGAAAAACTAGACTTAAAACCAATTATGACTCTTTTCTGCAAGTTGTGTGAAATTGCGTAGTGTGCTGATATGCATCTTGGATTCACAGGAAGGGTGCTGACTGTGGCTCTGACTCTCTGTATGGATTGTTTTATGTCTGGAATTTGATAGCACAGGTTAGAAAGCCCAGCCAAACCAGTTTCCCTAATTTGTTTTACTTGGAATCCTGTGCTTTTATTTTACTACTAGTATTTTAGTAATGCTACCAATTCTACAAGGAATTAACTTATGCAGGGTACCTAAAATTCATATGGAAAGTATTGTAGAAAATTTGAATCCATAGAGTTTTAGATTGTCATAGTGGATATTCCAGGTCTATGAGTCAATATTTATAGTCATCAGTGTATTCCACAGCAGTTAAATTAACTGTAAAGTACAATAAAAATAGAATGGATTCATATCGAGCGCTTGTCTTGAAAATAGCTATTTCTTAAAAGTTCTTATTTATAATCAAGTGTAGGCAATTTCAGAAAAAAACTAAGAGAAAGATGTCCAAACAATAGTTCAGATACTAAAGATTCTGAATTTAAATTGCAGCAATTTTAAAAATACAAATTGAAAGAAATCAAGTTTCTGTCAGTTGCCTCTGAATATTTGCAAATTCACTGTGTTCATGCCTGTAATCCCAGCACTTGAGAGGGAAGGTGGACGTAAGAGGATTGCTGTGAGTTCAAGGCCAGCCTGGACTACAAAGTGAGTTCAAGGCCAGTCTGGACTGCATAGCAAAATCCTGTCTCAAAGAGACCAAAAAAAAAAAAAAAAAAAAAAAAAAGTACTATAATAAAATAAAATTTATTCCTTCCAGGGTTCTTCAACTTATACTTCCCAATTGAGTCTTTGGGGGCAGGAGAAATTAAATAGGTTTGAAAATACTGAGATTTTGATTTTTTAAAAAGCACTGATTTAAGAGTTTTGAGTGTTTCTCCTTGGTAGTCAGTTAATGTCATATGTTTTCGTGTTAAATTGCACCTGAAGGTGTCATAAACTCTGGGTACAACTTTTGTTAGACCTCACACATTAGATTATACTCTGTTAGGAATTTGCTCTCGGATGTTTTGTTAAGGGATGTGGACATATAGGTCCATAAAAATTAAGAACAGCCTCCTGGGCTGGGGATTTAGCTCAGTGGCGTAAGTGCCTGCCTGGCTAGTGCAAGGACATGAGGTCAATCTACGGTGCCAAAAAAAGAGAACAATTTCCAATTGCTTTTTAGGAGTAAATCCTGAAAATCTCTCTAGATACAGATATAGGTATAGATGTATATATAGACGTGGATGTAGATATAGATATAGATTTTTTGTAATACTAGGAATTTTAGAATTAAGATATTATCGTTTGATAACAATTGTAGAAATAATTGCTTGGAACAAGAATCAACAGTGGATGCTAACATTGGTGGATGTGCGTGAGAAACATAGTATTTACGTAACCTCAAAGTATCTTTCCATAAGATAGTTCTTGGATATAAGAAGAAAAGTATTTTCAGTGAAGTAACTTGGTAGCTGCTATTTTATGAATGGGCATCCTATTTCCCAGGAGGGGGTGATAGGAAGAAAGACACTGTCCAGGGTCAGTGGTTCCTCTTCTCCACTGCACGTGTGATACTCTGTTCCCTTCCCGCAGTGCCCACAGGGACGGCAGTTACTTTAAGCTACCTTATGTACTCACAGTTAAGAGTCCTTTCTGGTTATAGATGTTTATCTGTTCCTGCGATGAGGATCTGCTGCCTCCTAAGTGTGAGAGATCCAGCATTAACTCAGACAGTTCCCTGGGGCTTTCCAGGTAGCAAAAGTAGAAATACAATAACGCAGAACTTTGTGATCTGTAGAAGTACAGTGGGATGCGGCAGCACGCTGGAAAGCGCTGAGCTACCTAACAGGCACCAGGAGAGACAGCCAAATAGGTTTTTAAATTATTAACAGTACTTTTGGTAAAAAGCACATTCTGAACTCCTCGCCCCTCTCCTGGGAGACCCTTCACTCACATGATGCACATGATGAACGATCAATCCTTAAGCAGCAGAGATCTGCAGGATTTACTCTTCTTTTCTCATTTCTTTCTGATTGCCCTGGTCCAGCATGGAAGTTCAGGGACGCTTTCCTGGAGTAGATTATATCTGTACCAAGAGTGATGAGAAATTATACAGGCCATAGCACAGTATCTTCAGGCCCCTGGATGACAGGGAGTGCGTCACATCTGAGAAACCCCAAATCATTGAGTATTCCACACTCGTTTGGTGCTAGGGAAAGATGGTAAGCCAAGAACCATAGAGGCTGATCAGAAAGGGCTTGCTAACTATGAACACCTAAACTTGATCAGACAAGCTATAAAACGTTTCTGAAAAAGACTAAGATAGGAAGCAACACAATTAGTTGTATTATAGGTTAATTGTTTTGACATATTTAAGGGGAAAGGATTGTTTGCAGGCTCTTGAAACAGTTCAAATAAGAAATTAGCCCCTTTTTAAAAAACCGAAGTAGTAATGGATGTAGAGAACTGGTAGAAATCCAAAGATAATAAAAAGGTTGAACTTGCAGGGCCTCTTGATTGGTGTAATGAGCTGTTATAAAATTTTAAAATCTATTCAGCATCCGATATCATGATCGTACCCAAAGTGAGCCATTTGGTAAGTGTGTTGGCTCTGATTCCAAAATTAAGAATTCATCTGGCACAGGAAATTAACAGTGATCACTCCGTTTCCAATCCACTACTTTCTCAATGTCCATAAGATGAAAACAGTGTATTCACTAGTCTTTGGGCAAGAGGATAAGGTCAGAGAGAAAGTTTTCTTGCAATGTTAAGCAAGTATGAACACAATTTTCACAGTTGTAAGTGCTGATGTTAAGTCTGTGAGCCCTGATCAGCTGTTCCTAATGCCGAGTCTGACCTTATGCTTCTCCCAGAATGGATCCTGAAGCTGCCCAGCTGGAGAAGCAGCACGTGCACGATGTGTACAGGAGCACGGCCCCGTACTTCAGTGACCTGCAGAGCAAAGCCTGGCCTCGAGTCCGCCAGTTCCTCCAGGACCAGAAGCCCGGCAGCCTCATTGCTGACATCGGTAACCTGGGCTGGTGCCACGTAGTGTGCAATATATTCCACCGTCCTTGTCCTTTGCAGTACATTGTGTCTGTGGCATGCCTGTCCATAGATTATTCACTTTATTGCAGAAAGTTTTATTTGCAAGTCACTAAGCAGAAAGTATCCTCCAACCTAAATTTAGACAGTGGGGATCTTCAGGGCCCTTGGTGGTTTTATGCCTCTGTAAAACAGTTGGAATTGTGGGATTATGGAAAAGTTCTTATGTCCTCTTATGAATGTCATGGATCCTTATTTATTTTATAGGTGTTTTTATTATTAGAGCACATCTTTAATCCCTGATTTCTCTGGAGAGCTTTAGCTCAGTTTCTTTCTGAATTGAGAAGTCTTAAACTACATCTCAATAGACTAAGACTAGAATTTACAATTGGATTCCCACTTACAGTTGGATTCCCACTTGGAGCATGAAGCCCAGGAGAATCACAAGTCTCTAGTTAGATACACTAAGCCTAGTTTGGTATCACTCACTGCTGGTAAGAGAAACAGACAGATGCATAGAGCTTCTGGCTTTGTAGAAGAATGTGTGAACACTGCAGAAACTATGGAGCAGGGTGCATGTTGCTTTCACATTAGGAGTCTTGGGAAAATCTGTCATATTGATTTTTTAAAAATAGATCTGGTTTCAGAGATTGGGGATGCATTTCAGTGCTTTGCATGTACTAGGCCCTGAGTTCAGTCCCAACACTGCAGAAGGGTCAAAAAACTTTTGATTTTAGAAGATGCAAAGTACCAGGATCTGAAAATTAGTGAGGAGAGAAGGAACTACGCAATAAATGGTCCTGGGACAACATGACAAGACGACAAGAGCTACTTTCTCACATCTTACTCCAAAGTGAATTCCAAGTGAAACAAATATCTAAATGTAAAAAAATGAAAATATTGAAGGACTAGATGATAGTTAAGATTATTTTAGCCAGGCATAGCCAGGAGGCTGAGACAGGAGGATCACTGGGTGTTTGAGACCAGCCTACACTACACAGTGAATTCAAGACCAGCCTGAAATACATAGTGAGATCCTGTCTCAAAAAAAGAAAAGCAAAGGGCTTCTCTGTATATAATACATATTTGGGTACACAGATGCCAAAATAATTCACAGAAGAAATTGACTGTTATTATTAATGGTACTTATTGTTAGGTTTATTTAAGATCTGGAGATGACCAGTTGAGGCAGAAAGATTCATTAGCCCCAAAGGACAGCAGCCAGGGGGAGCTGCTGGTTTGAAATGCAGGATAGAAGTTGGGCTGCTGGGGTGGTGTGGGGGTACTTAAAGCTAACACTTACGTTTCATGAAGTTGACATAAATACAAAGTTAGTGAATGCTGAATCATTATCCTAATGGGAATGACAGAAAAGTTTCTTGTAAGCCTTTGGACACAATTCGTTTATCAATTTGTTAGTGTGTAACCTTGTTTCATAGTATTTCTGTTTAAAATCATCTTGTGTACTGCCATATGAAATGCCCTATGGAGAGCAGGTGATACAGGAATGGGAGAATTTACTAATATGTTGTGATATAAGACAGGAGTTTATTGCTATGGTGCAACAGAACAGTGGGCGAGGTCCAACCCAGGACTAGGGGGTCAGTGTGAGAAGCTGGGGTTTCTCTAAGGGACTGAAGATGTGGAAGAGAATGTCTGTAAATACAGACATCTCAGAAATGTATTAGCAGGTTTCTTATTAGTCGTCAAATTTATACTTGCCTTGCAACTAAAGCTGTTCCTCAGATTTGCAAATTGACAGGTCATTTATTTTGGCCTCACAAAAGCCCATCTCCTTAGGACAAAGATTTATTTTTATCTCGTGCTGATGTACATGAGAGTTAGCATATTATCTTATGATTGCTTACTACCATTAGTTTTTTCCTTGATGCAGTAGAGAAGCAAGAGCAAAAAACAGGAAAAAAGGCCTTTATTGCAGACACCAGAGGGCTGCAAGAGAGTGCAAGATCCCTTTAAGGCAGACAAAGAAGTGGCGCCCTTTTATTAGGTTTGATAGGGGGTGGAGCTTGAAGGGGCGGGCAAAATGACGTGTTGACAGCTGATTGGGGGAATGTTGGCACCAGGACAAAAAGCCGGAAGTTCAATTTCAGCTTGAAGGAAGAAGGTGGAAGTCAGCACTGAAGAGATGCACCGCTGTTGCTCTGGGGTCCTGCGCCATGTTGGCCTGGCAGAGCTTCACAGGGGCGGACCCCATCAAGTACCTGCTGAGCTCACTTTAACAGGATTTGCTGTTGAGAGTTTGACACTTCTGTTGCCAATTACTGTATTTATATATCTCATTGTACCATTAACAGTGAACTAACTTGGCTAGCATACTATTAATTCACACTTGAACAAACCTTGTCTCTTACTTATTAACCCATAGGGGATTCCAGAGCTGTCTTCTCTTTAGAAATACTAGAATGCCAGGGGACCATTTTAACTAGCAAAACCCTGACAAAAACTACAAAAAAGTGAAAAATAGGGAAACCAATCTTGTTAAGAAAAGAGAGAAGTTACATTTATTTGAGGCTTATTAGGATTGCAATGCAAGAGACGCCAAATTGAAGTAGCCTAGAGAATATGCTTTGAGGTCTTATGAAACATCAGCTTTTGTTGTGTGTTTTGTTTTGTTTTGGGTTTTGGGGGGGAGGGGGATCTACTGAAGAGTGAACCCAAGGGCTCATTCACTGCTAGGCAAGTTCTCTATCACTGAGTTACATCCCTGTCGTTGGTCGTTTTTATTTAAGACGCAGTCTGCTAAATTGTCAAAGCTAGCTTCAGACCTGCCTCAGCCTCCTCAGGAGCAGGGATTACAGGTGTGGGCCACTTTGCCTAGCTGATGGCTGTTCTTTAACCTACAAGGGAGGTTGTTAATTCTGACTTGTTTGTCAGAAATTGTTACTGGTACTGCAGAAGTTTATAAGAAAGAAGTCAGGCACAGCTCCTGGGCATTGGGGGAGGTAAGAGAAGGCAATTTCACAAATTGCTACAAAACCTGAATTTCATGGCAAAAATTGTAGTTGGGCCCAGTTTACCAAGATAGCACGCGGGAGGTTGGGCAGATAGTTCAGTGCAAAAGTTCGGCTGTGTCGCTGGAAGCCTGGTTCGGTGAGGCCTCCCTATTAAGTGCCAGGAACCAGGGCTGCTTCACATTGATTTTCTTCCCTAACTACAGTATGACGGCTGAGGTGAGAAGCCTGGGCATGTGGCTCTCAGTTAAATTTGCTGCAATATGAGAGTACGTTAGGGATGACTCGCTCAGGTGCTGTGAGTAGTATTGCATTCAGGGATAGGAATCAACTTTAGCAAGGACAGGAAATGTGGCATCTTTCACTCATGGGGATTTGCTGTGTCAGTAACTTTTCTCCCGTAAAAATGAAAATACTCCCTAAGGTGAAAAATCTAAACAAATATAGAAATGAAGTGAAAGGTCAAAAACTAAATAGCTACAACATGTTTTGTAGAGAAACACATAATTTCTTAATCTACAGGACATGTTTTAGTTTTTTTTAAAACTCCAGCATTCTATCATTTGCTGCAACATGGATGAACTTGAAGGGCATTATAGTTAGTGAAATAAACCAGCCACAAAAAAATACTGCACAGTTTCTTTAAACTGTAAGAGCATGAGAGAGAGAGACAGAGAAAGAGAGAGACCAAAGCAAAACCTAGAAGCAGAGAGTAGGTGGTGATTACCAAGGTCTGGGGCAGGGATGGGGCAGGAATGCTTGGTTAAACGGCCAAAGCTTCAGATAGACAGGAGGAATAAATTCACAGGAAAACTAAAATACCAGCAACTCCAAAGAAAAATATGTGAGCAAATATTTCAAAAAAGAACACTAAAAACCACTTGAACTGTTCTGACAGGTCCTTCACTTATGGGTCAGGAAGACACCAAAGCATGTACAGTGCAAAGCGTTCTGCACGGCCAACCCTAGCACAGGCAGCCACACCAGGGCAACCCACGCTGTTGGTGTCTTGTGTCATCCTGAGATGGTTTATGTAAATGGAAGCATCTTTGTGCATTGGGGAGGACATATGGGTGGATTTCTTCCTTCTCCTCGTCCTCTTCCTTCACCTCCGTCTCCTCCTCTTCCTTTTCCTCTTCTTTTTCTTCTTCTTTTTGAATGTACAGGTTTACATCTAGTTTGTCTTACTTTCAGAGTATTTGTGGAGTCATTCCATATTACGTTTTGTATAGTTGCCTAGGATTAAAAGCTGCCTTAGGCCAGGATTTAGTTCAAGTGGCAAGTGCCTGCCTGATAAGTGGGGTCCTGAGTTCAAGTCCTGATATTCCCCCCCAAAAGTACTAAAAGCTGCCTTACACGCTGTGCTCACATTGCCACATTAATAGATAATGCAAATCATTTTCTGTGCATATTTTGGTACTACAAATTATGGGGTGAATAATATTCTTTGAATACTTCTATATAAATCAACAGTTGCATCTAGAGTCAATATCTTTTTGGTCATTTACTGTTTTATTTTTGTTTGACTTTAATTTTTTAGTGAATAAATGAATAATATTTTGATTATAAAATGAAAGGTTTATTTTTAACTAAATTTCAAATTAAAAAAGAAACAAATACAAAGTATAAATGAAGTCCAAAAAAGATGAATAGAAGAAATGACAGAATGGTACTATGACTAATCTCCATAAGGAAGTGTTGTTTAATTTGACTGGCCATTAGATTAGCAATTATAATTAACTGTAGTAATAATTACTAGTAAAGCATTGCAGTAAAAAAAAAAAAAAAATCCAGGAGTAACCAAGTTCAAGTTGCCCAAACAGGAATTCTCTGGGCAGTGCCACTATTTCAGATTGTTATTTCCTGTATCAGCCTATTCTCCAGTCCTGCTAACCAGCTGAAATATGTGATTGATGGCTCTGGGATGGAAGCTAAGTGTGGAAGTCAGGAATCATGGCTTAATCAAGCAGAGACAGTAGCCTAAATAAAAACAGAAGCACAGAGCACTCTCCGGAAACACTGTGAACCTGGGGATTAGGCAATGCCTTTAGCCAAAATGGGCCAATCGATTTTAGGCCATTAAATGTTACATGGAGGGCACTGTGTGGTTCGAAATTTTTACTTGGGTCGCTTCAGAAACTGGGAGAAAGACCAGGGCTGGAGGCTTTTCTGAGCAATATTCCTTTTTCATCTGTCCCCGGAGACAACTGCCCACATAGTATTGAAAATGACATTTTTGTGTACATAATAAAAATTAACTTTTGAAGAATTAAAAAAACTCTGCTTACCTCTTAACTCTCAATGTATATTTATTCTCAGCTTCAGTGGTCATTTTTAATGGACTAAATCATTTCCTAATGATCACTTCCTTATCATGGCAATAAAAAATTAGAGCACCCAATTGGTAGGCATCGTACATACAGAATAAAGCATCCTCCCTCTGGACTCAAGAATTGTATATAAAAATTCATGTAATATTTTTGTTTTTTTCTTATTCCCTTTTACACATAGTCCTAGCCAAAAACTCTCAGTTTTAGAAATGTAGTCATTTCTATAAATATCACAGAAGTTGTTTATATTAGTTACTTTTAGCAAATACTTTCCCATCACCCACTCAAACATTTTGTTAAGCTGAGCAAATTATCTGTTTACTTCAGCTACAGTGCAGTGCAGAACACAAATCAAAGCAAATGAAAGCCTGCAGACAGTTTCTCTTTAGTACTACTCAAGGTCATCATTTAATGAGATTTTGTAAAGGAGTATAATTGTTCTGGGCTCAGCTTCCCACTGTATCAGTCAAATTCTGATTTACATTTAAGGTAGTGGGATAATTTAGCTTAGCAATAGTCTTGATTTCTTCATTAGGATAAAATCTTCCACTTGCTAGAATCTTGGTGCATGCACTCAGAAAATGAATAATTTATACATCATATCTGGGAGTGCCACTGATACCCTTCAGCATGAATACTAGATACAGCAAGGGTGCCGGCACTCTGGAAGTATATCACTTTAAATTGGAAGAGACTTCAGTGTCTTCTTTATTACTAAATGCTTTCTTTAGAGCTCCCTTAGCCATGATGGTTTATGAACCTGTTTTTATTAGTGTCTTAGAAGTAATGTCTCCTTTCATTTTTCCAAATGTATCTCTCAAGCCAATAAAAAGCAAATGAATTTGCAAGGTTATTTATTTTAAAGCATGGCTATCCTTGAAATATACAGAGTTTCCATTTTAAAATATATTTTTAATTATTTTTCATATAGTGGATGCTTTTTCTCATAAGCATTAGGGACAGTGGCTATGAGATATAAAATGTTTCTAAGACCTCAATCATGTTTTATTTTTTATTCATACTGTCCACCCCCTGCTGGCATCAGTGTACCTTAATTCTGTTTCTGTTGCCTCATAATTTTGGAAAATCCCTACCAAAGAGGAGTTATTAAAAGAGTACGATCATGTATTTCAGAAGCAGCAAACCAATTATTTTGAATAGTGCTAGGTTCCCCCACCCAGGCAGAAAAATCTACAAGTAATGCCAGTAAGGTACAAACACCAATTCTAATGATTTTTAAATATTTCTGGTAAGGAATCAGATTATATGTCTATGATAGAATATAACACCAGGTACAGTGGTGTGTGGATGTATCCAGCTACTCAGAGGCTGAAGTGAGAGAACCACTTGCATTCAGGAGTTCAGGCCAGCTTAGGTGACATAGCAAGACCAGACAAACAAACCTATAATACCAAGTACTAGGTAACAGGAAATGTGAGACGTACTCTGACTGTCCCAGACCCAAGGAACGGGCAGTACTTCCTTTAGTCAAAGAGTAGCAAGAACATTGTAGAGCCATCAAGAGAGCAAATGTCATAATGTACACTGTGTATACTTAGGTGAAATATGAAGGGAGGATAAACTGCACAGTGAGTCCCTTCTACTAGGAGACTAGAGCTGTTGGTTGTTCCCAGTGATGTTTGGGCTGTGCTGGGCTGCTAGGGCTCATGGACATGGCCTTAATGACTATTCAGTTAGTGTTATTTCTTTAATCCATTCCTTTCTTCTCTATTAAAGTTTGCTTATGTACATACCTTTATACTTGTATTCCACCGTACGTTAGAATGAAGCTTATACAGATTTTTTTTCTTACAGGTTGTGGAACTGGAAAATATCTTAAAGTGAACAGCCAGGTCCATATCCTGGGCTGTGACTACTGTGAGCCCTTGGTAGAGATTGCCCGGAGTAGAGGATGTGAAGTCATGGTATGTGACAACCTTAATCTCCCCTTTAGGGATCAGGGCTTCGATGCCATCATCTCCATAGGAGGTAAGGCAGCTGTCACATGTTCACACTTTGCCATGAGAAAAATGCATGTGGTTGAGGTCACTCATGACCCAACATTCATTCTGTGTAGAGCCATCTATGTGTTCACTTTATTCAATTTTTTAAAAAAATATTCCAACTGCTTGCGCTATTTGACTAAGCTCTAATGCACTTATGGCACATATAGTTGGTTTTACAGTCTAAACCTTTGAACTTTGTTATAGTATTCTTTTTGATGATTTGGTCCTATTTCTTTTACTTAGGACTAAGGAAGTGCTAGAAGAATCTTACTCATTGAAAATAGTACTCTGTTGTGTTAAAGTGAAATCATGTTCCTCCGAAGTGAAGACTGTAGCATTCTATTACCTTTATCATGCCAAAGCAGAGGCTCTGAATTAGTGGAACATTCTGGGAGTAACGCAGTAACTGTTGTCTGGACTAGTGTGCCATTCGCCAGCCCTCAAGTTCCTGGAGAAATCGCTCCCAGCTGGTGCACACTGCACTGGTTTAATAAGGTTTTCTGCTCTTTAACACCAGAGATTGTTCATCAGTCTAGGGTATTTGTCCCTCATAATTTTCCAGCAAATATGCCCAGAAACACATACATGCCAAGAAATTTGGGGGGAAAGCCTAGAAATATTCATGCCTGAAATATACAGGTAAGGCTCACTCTATTCCACTCATGTCTTCCTGATACTTAGTAATGTTAGTGACTAGGAAACCGTGTTTAAGGGAGTTCTGCAATGAGTTGTTTTGCAAGAAAAAAAAATACTTCTCAAAGCCAATTGTTTACTCCAATACACTTTAAAAAATTAATCTATTTGAATATAACAAGCTTCTAAGCCCATCAATTGTTAGTGGTTAGAGAGATGATACAAATTAAATAACAATAAATCATAAAATAGTAAGATGTAACAACTTTTAAGATGAGCTTGTGTAATTTCTCCACTGATTCTGGAATTCAATAATTGAATTCAGCCTATCTATTTTTCTGTGTTCTCAGCAGGAAAATATTGCTACTGGATACTTAAGATAAAGTATTATTTTTGCCTTTAAATTGTAATTATGGGGGTGGGGATTTAGCTCAGCGTACTAAGCACCTGTCTTGCAAGCAGGCGGTTGTGAGTTCAATCCCTGGTACCAATAATAAAATAAAAATAAATTATAATTATGATTATTAAACAAAATTCCTTTCTTATGCTTCAGAAATCAGCATTTCCCCACATAGGTACTTCAGATAACAAGTTCTTATGTTCCATTATACTTACAGTTACAACATTCTCTATAGAACATATATGTGTGTATATGAATAATACAATTTGGTTTAATAAGAAATCTTCATTTATAAGCTTTTTCCCTACAACACCTTTTATTTAAAAAGTATTATTCCACATTAAATATAAATTTAAAACCTAATATAAAATATTCTAATTTTCTTGGGTGACATTATGATTAGAAATGAATCATTTATTCATCAATTAATGGGTAAAGACTTCTTCCTTTAAAAAAGACCTCTTTTGAAAGCAAATAGAATCCTAAAGTGTTGAAGACTTCCAAGTTTACTAAAAAGAGATAAATTATTGCATTGAAATAGTCCTGTTTGAATGTTTTTCTTTTATGGCTTTCAAAAATAAATACAGTAAATATTATTATTCACAGAATTTATGTTCTACAAAATTTCTGAAAAAACAGTGAATTAGCCAATCCAATGGAAAGCAGGATTCACAAGGAATGCAGAACCTCTGCCGTATCATTTGTGCCAGCTGACAACTACAACCTTGTTTTATATGCGCTTCTGTTTAAAGATGTTTTATTTACTTTAAACTCATGTCTGAAGGAAGCATATGTGGCTCGTGTATTTTCTCTGTAAGGCCTATCATAGCCTGGTGTTCTGAGGAGCGCCAGGTCCCAGGCCAGGCTGTGTGCAGGGCAGGCTGTTCTAAATGTGAATCACCAGCACAATTCACAAACATGCAGCAAATGTGGCATTAAATAGGCCACAAATAGCTGACTTGTTGACAGGGTTAGATTTGAACTAAGAAGAAAGAGAGTGCTTTGTTTTACCTCAGCTGGAAACGTGTCTTGGTGGCTCATCTTGCCTCTCTGTGCAGACTGGCAAACGACCAGGAAAGCCTGGGAATATTAACTTTGGAGGCCACAAATAAATTTTCACATGTTGTCAAATTTGCAAATACAGAATCCATGAATAATGAGAATATATTTTATTTAGAGGATGTACCCAGAGAAATTCTGGAGTACAAGTTATGACAGTACAAATTATGAAAGTACAGGATGTAGGTACAAGTTATGGGAGATATTTTCGGCCCTAAATAGTGATAGATAGATTCGAACATAAGCCCTGTGTTAAATCTCCTAGGAGACCCTAATACCTCCTTTCAACTCAGGCATCAAGGCAATACTTTCTGAAGTCTATGCTTTCAAAAGGACCATTATTAAGAGCTTTCTTTGGAGGCTGGGGGTACTCCAAGGCATAGCAAGACGTGATAATTGATCAAAGATCAAAAGTCTAGTACTGATAGATCTAGGGTGAAATATGTTGGAGTTTTGTTTTTCAAACACATTTTGTCCTCACACTTCCAGCTTTCTCACACCATGTCATGGTGACGGTAACAGGGTTTGTATGCTACTGATAGGGATGAAATGCTCATGCTGACAATACGGAGTACGCCAACTTAATGAATTTCCCTTGACAGTGTTATCTATACAAGAGTCTCATTTTACATATTTAGTATTCCTCAGCGGCAGATAAACTGCAGAAATTAGTTTGCCTGAAATCACTGCTGACAGCTGAGTATGTGAGCATTAAAGAACCGGTTTCTTCACTGTCTGGCTTCACTACTGACATCAGAGCTGGAGGCTCCAGCTTTGGTTGGAAACAGTCTCATCTATGAGATATGTAGTAGGTTGATATTTTGAAAGATAATTTGATGTTGTCCCTTCACACAGTACTGTGATTAAACTCCCCACAGGAACTAAGAGACTAGCGTTTCATATATTATTAGATAAAATATGCCTAGTAACACACTTATGACTAGATAAAGCTGCCTCATTCATTCCCTTAAATCTCACTTCAACTTTGAATGGATTGTAAGTAAAAGTTTTTAAAAATGTACACATTTATCATATTAAAGTATTTTTAAATGCTAAATAATCATTTGGATTTGTACTGGGCTAGTTTATCTTTGCATTATCTAAATTTTAAAATGATCCTATAGTATTTTCTCTATTTCTTGCTTTATTGACCTTATAAACTGTACTGATTAGTGGCATTAATCCTATAAAAATATCAGTTATTCAGTAAGTCAATGAGTAATAATCTTTAGCAGTCACCTAACTTAGTTTTCATTCAAAATTTTAGTAATTCACATTTGTTACCTTTCTGGATAACAAAATTCATAGGATTTTGGAACTGGAAGATATAACAGGTTATCTATTTTAGATTTTTTTATTATAGTGGAATAAACTGAAAAATCTATAGAACTTATCTGCCCTGTCATGCAGAAAATAATTTTCTGCGTGTCAGAATGTCTTGTTATACAGAAGTACTGGTATATGTGTGTGTGTGTTTGTGTGAGTGCTTACACATTGAGATATAGTTTCTTCTTTTTCAGTCATACATCATTTTTCTACAAAACAAAGAAGAATCAGAGCGATAAAAGAAATGGCCAGGATCTTAGTTCCTGGAGGCCAACTGATGATTTATGTTTGGGCAATGGAACAAAAGAACCGCCACTTTGAGAAGCAAGATGTCCTTGTTCCGTGGAACAGAGCCTTATGTTCCCAGCTGTACTCAGAATCCAGCCAGTCCGGGAGGCAGAGGCAGGGTGGACATGCAGAAACGAGCCGTGCCTGCCATCCTCCCTGCTCCCGGTGGAGCTGCTCTGTTTGTTTTAAAGAGCAGTATAATTCAAAACGGTCCCACAGCTTAGACTATGGACCTGTCATGACCCGAACCTGCTGTGGAAGTGTTTGGAAGGAAGGCGAGGAAGAAAACGGGTTTTATAACACGTTAGGGAAATCTTTACGCTCCTGGTTTTTCTCCAGATCTTTGGATGAATCCGCTCTGCAGAAGCAAACTGAGAGTGTGAGGCCCTTGAGAACCACAGAAGGCTGGGCCAGTAACACGGTGTCGGTCCAACCCTCCAGACTGCGGAGTTTAGACTTTGAGCACCCAGAGCCATTTGCAACAAAAGAGCCAAACTTAGATGAGGAAGTGTTTCTGGAAACTTCTCAGAAACACCTCCAGTGGTTGAAAGCACCAGGTACTTCGAAGCATTTAAATGGAGACCAAGGAGAAAACAGAAGAAATGGAGGGGAGACCTGTCTGCCCAGCGCTAACGCTGGGGAGAGCTGTGTAGGATCCGGGGCCCGAGAGAAAGGCTACACTGCTGGTGATAAAGTACTGAGGAGAAGTTCTGCAGTCAGTTCCCCAGATTCCACCCCAGATGACACCATTTCTGCTGACACACAGCAGCCCAGCCTTTGGGATTCGAGAGCCTTTATGCGTTATTACCATGTGTTTCGGGAAGGCGAGCTCCAGGCCCTCCTGCGGGAGAGTGTGCCTGAGCTCCACATTCTGAGCTCTGGGAATGATCATGGCAACTGGTGCATCGTGGCAGAGAAAAAAGGGACGTTGTGATTAACTGGGTTATTTGAGCCAACGTCTCCCAAAGATGAACCCTGATCTTTTCACGAGCATTGAAAGCAAAATGCTAAATGAGTTATCTAAATTAGCACTCAGTTCTGTTATATTTTCAAATCTGTGTATGCTTTGATTTAGCGATTAAGAATTGACCATCTTTTTAATCTTTGAGCACATAGTTTAGCATTTGGCATAGAATATTTGTGCTTAAGTGTTAATAAGAATGGTCTGATAAAAGCAATAGAAATAGAAGTACTTCAGTACAGTTTAGATTTTGTTCCCAATAGAAAAAACATTCTTATAAGAATGCAGGTATATTTTGTTTTCAGTATTACACATTGATTTTAAAAGAGTCTACTCTTAAATATACCTTTAAAAACAGTATTTTTATAAGGGGATAATTTATAACAAGAAGGGGATAATTTATAACAAGAAACCTACTCCATTGCTCAGGTATTATAGTTTATTGAACCGTGGGATGGGATATTTTGTTGCCAAAAATACCTTGTTTTTACTTAAAATCTTCAAGAAAATGGGAGACAATGGATAGAAACATAAAAGCCATGGAGAATTTTCTCAGTTATAGGCAAACTTCCTCCAGGATAAGTACTGTAAATAACAAGCTTTTCAGTATTGCTTGGGATTGTAACTGTTAGCAGGGACTGCGTGTAGCTGCTCTGTGATAGACAGAGCGGGTCCCCGGCAAGCGTGAGGCCCTGAGTTTGAATCCTAGCACTGTGTGGAAAGTGAAGCAATGAAACAAATAGAATGAAAGCCCTGTTAGCGTGAGGGAGTGCAGGGCGTGCATGTGACGAACTGTCCTGAGTACTGTGGTGACCTTCTTCCCAGAAGTATTAGAAGCATGAATCCCCACATACGCCAACACCAGCTTTCACTGATCATTTTTAAATCTGTAATCGTGCTTTTCTTCTGAATTGAAAAGATACTGAAGAGAATCTAGTGGAAGCACTGTTTTATTTTGGCTCCAAGGACAAATAGATTAGTAATGTTCTGGATTTTGAAACTTGGGCTTTATAGCAAATGTGCATTGTGATTCTCTATATTGTTTTTCTCAAACTAAGCAATATAACACAGATATATATAACACTATATAACAAGAGGTTTCGATCACAAAGTACAAAAAAAAAATTCCGCTTGACTCACTTAGAATGCACTTGGCAGAAGCCTCAAAGCAGTCAGCAAGAAAATACTAACTGTGAATTACAGAGCTTTTTGATTTAGTTACCATTTGTAACACACTAATGAGAATGCGAATCATGCGGTTATATTCTATGTTCTATACCCTTTGCTGCAGGTCTCCCCCAGTTGATTACCCATTAATGATTAACCACTTTATCTGGGAGGGATTCAAGCTGTCATTTAATCTGTCTGACTAATCTGACGGACCACTTGTGAAAGCCAAGTGTCCACTGGATCCCCACATGGCAAAAAATAACTAATTCACGTGTCAGCATATTTTCTCCACGGGGAAATTTGTTTCTCTATAGATGCTACTTCTGCATAGAAAAAACAGTGAGTCATAGTTCATCTGTAGCCAGTATAGCTGAATATTGAATTCCCTGAGCAAATTATGGTTATGCCTGTGTTCACTGAGGAGGCAATTTTGTTGAAGGACAGGCAATTTTCTTATGAACTAATCATATTACACCCACTTAAATGTTCTAGGAAATGTATAGAGGGGATCTACTAGGAAAAGTTTGCTTTTCTCCTCTATTTATGCAGAATATTGGCAGTACTTAAGGCTCCCTAAGGGAGACTGAGTGGAATTTCTGAGACACCGAGTCAGTGTGTGGGACTGTGCTGGTTTCTGCAGATGCTCTTAATTACGTATATGTAAATATGTACGCATACATCTGTTCCTAGACATTGAGTATTTGTTGTGATTACAGGCCAAGAAAAAAATAGCGCTCATACACTTACAAAACATAAAATCAGCAATTGCTCTTTATCTCCTTGAATAGACTTTTCTTGTTCCAGGGTAATTTAAAGATGATTTAAAGATAGTTGTTAAATGTCCACTTGCCTCTTCTAGTGTTGACGTATAGTTTTGTGTCAAAAAAGCAAAATCTCTTCTTTTCCTGTAGTTCTAGTTATTTTGGTGTTCCCCAGGGGGGAAAAACTAGTAGTAGTTTTAAAAGCACAAACTGATGTAAAAGTATCGTTAGTGGTAATAACTTGAATATATATTTTATTTGTATTAACAATGGTCAGGATCTTTTTGTAGTACTGTTTAAAATGATGTCATTTGTGTGCTTAGGGAATAGTTTTTTAAAATTATACATCATGCACTTTCTAAAAATGTTCTTAGAATTTTGCTTTTCTTCACTCAATGTGACAGAATTGGAATTGCTCGTTTTACTGGACAGGTTCACATTTGAATTGTTATCTTTGTCTAAAGGAAACCAGATTAATCATTTAATAGGAGATTTCTTTAGTGGGTTAATAAAAGAATACTATTGAGCAAAAAAAGACATATTTTAAGACTAATAAAGTTGCTTTACATGATCTCAAAATGAGTGTGTATGAAGATATAGTAATAATATTGCAACTGTGACGTGTGTGTGTGTGTGTGTGTGTGTGTGTGTGCTGCTTGGAATGTAAGCTCCTGGCCTGCTCCTCCTGCAGCCTGTCCAATCATTGTCCGCACTGGGGTGGGACAGGAGGGAAGTGTGCCCAGGACTGCTGTGACTGTAACACAGCTCAGCCTCACAGCAGATGGTGCCCTGGCTTGATTGCCACTCCTGTGTGATGTCAGAGCTGGCTGCATCTCTCAAATGACCTCAGTGCTGTTTGCTTTGAAGACAAAAATGGTCACTAATTAAAACACACACACACACACACACACACACACACACACACACACACACTGTGCTGATCTTTTGTCAAGAACTAATGAGATGTCAGTTATGAACTTTGTATACTCTGGCAGATGTCACCTAGTTTAAAAACACTACAAGATCCTGTCATTAGAAGCCATCACTTCCTCTATTTTTGTGCTCATTTATGTATCAGTCAGCAGGGCAGGTGTGCATACCTTCAGTGTAAGAAGGACTGGCTTGCCCAGCCAGGAACCGGACTCCTGACTTTCTACCGCACCAATCACGTTGCGTCCGTAGGTGGCTACTGCCCTTTGCATCCTAGACCAGCGTTCATCTCAGTGCAGCCCCAGCTGAGGTCTCCCATCTACATGGGGATAGCTCACTTCACTGTCCCTCAGCCCTTTGCATGAGGGTACTTTACAGCCCCACATCAGTTAAAAAGTATACTGAATGCTCCATCATTTTCCCTGTAGGTCTCCCCTGGTGTTCATTTTTAAAGAAGCCTTGAAAAGTCGCGGCTAGTTCAATCATTTACATTTCTTCTCTAGTTGACTCCCTGTCCGCAGATTGTTCCAGGAATGATCAGCATTTCCCACTTTAAAAGACTGTCTCTAGATGAGCTATAGAGGTGCTCTCGCCTTGCGGCCACTGACTCCCAGCCGGCCTTCAGCATTTGGGGACAAAGACTTCCAACGCTGGTTGATGGGACTCCTTTCCTGAGATCACTGGCCATTAAAGGCCAGGCTCCTGCTTCATTGATTTCCTGCCTTTTGAGTCCCTCCCAAGGGAACTTCCTCTTAAGTTCATCAGGCCTAAGTCCCCTCCGGCCTCCTCTGAGATTTAAGTGAGGAACAGGTGCTTCGCTCTGAGTGAGATTATTTATCTATTGATGAAAACAAGTATGGTTGGTTCCTTGGGGTTCACTATTCAAGGCTAAAGATAAAAAACATGACCAATATTTGACCACACATTACTACTATTTTTTATTTCGGGAAAAGAAAAAGATCACAGTACTTGGCAAAGTTGGCTTTGTTCCCCACTCCCCATCCTTGGGAAATCGGGATACTCGGGCCTCTGCACTGAGCTGTCCTGCTCAAGAGAAGACTTAACAGCTACTGGGAAATCAACCCTCCTACGTCTTAGAGAGGCCAGGGCTCCTTGAGGACTTCCCAGTAGAGCCTGCCCACTGAAAGGAAGGCCAGACAGCACTAATGCCAGACACCCAAATGATCAGCTTCACTAGAAAGCTGGCGGGTGCAGTGGTCTGAATCTCCAAAGCTGTCGCTGAGCCTGATCTCAGCCTCCACCTCTGGGAAGTTTGACTAAGACTCCTGGTCCCAGGTTGCCACACACAGGGCAAAGCATCCACCTTGCAGTGGCACAGCAAGGCCACTTGGATCGGCCTTGCCCTTGTCCTTATGCACGTGCTGTCCCTACCCTGATACAGGTATGGCAGTCAGTGAGCTGTGGCTGTCCTCTTCAGAAAGGTTCTTATCAAAAGAAATGGAGTCAGATCTGCAAAGTGCTATGAAATATGAAGAAGCTGCCATGTGAAGTTGATTTCTAGGAGGCCTGATGTGATTTCACTCTCTTGACACAAAAAGGAACTTCAGAGGAGGTGAGAAGGATTCTCATCCACCCTCTGTGAGACTTCAGCCTCAAAAGAATGCGCTCCACACAAAACTAGTGAAGGTTTTAACCATATTTTGTTGGGACTTCAAATGTGTGACTACTCCAAGAAAGGCATAGAAAACATGGGAACAGAGTTCATTTGGAATAGTTCCTGGGGGTAAGAGGACTCCTAGTAACTGTTGGAAACTTCCTGGGAATAAGATTCCGTCCCTGGTCTTTATGAATTAAAACATAGCAAGCTAGAACAATGTGCACGATTCTTTGGGATACTCTCCCATTCCCCACTTGGCCTGACTTAATCATCTCTTATTTCCACTTCAATGCATGTTTCTCAGGTTAACCATTAATGCCCTGGACCCTTATCCAGTCCAGACACTTAAATTATGGTCCTGCTCTCTGGTCCCAGGGTTGTGTGTAATCATTCTCTGGAAATCAATCACACATTGATTTCTTTAGCACATCTTTTATTTCCCAAGGCAAACATGTCTCCAGGCCAGGGACTTGTCTTCCTCCATCACTGCAGTACCCTAGAGAACCTGATATGGTGCTGATCCAGTTCAAAGTGGTCAGGAAATATGGGTGGGTGAAGAGTTTAATATTGTGTCTCTGAGGGGAGGAGGTGCTCAGATAAGTCATAAGGAACATGGTCCGCTAATATACAAACACAGGAGGAGAAACAACTGGACCTTGAGGACAGAATATCAGTGTGTGGTAAGGACAGAAAATTTGGACAGCTCCCAAGGGACTCTGAGAAGCTCTGAGTGGTTGCTCAATGGTGATACATAGCAGTGATGGTGCCACTTTGTCACATGGGTGCTGCATAGCAAGAATGCTCATACTCTGATTTGTTATACCAGGCCAGAGAGGTATCACTCAGCCCATGTATAAGTGGAAATAAAGGTTTGCAGGGTTGGTATTTTTGCCAAGTTCACATCAATGAAAAGGGAAGCGCTCAGCTTTGCACTTGGATTTACATCTGTGAAAAGCCTAGATCTACCCACTCCATAAGGAGGTGGTTTTGTGAGGGTGCCAGAGAAGCAGAGACACCTGAAGGCAGGGGTAGTGGTTTGATTCTCATGGCTCTTGAATGCCACATAGAGTAATGGCTTTGTAGCATTGTTTACCCTAATCATATAGTAGCCGAAGATCCCCCCACCGCCATCCAGTGTATTTCAGTTTGTTACTTGCCCAGGTAATAGTTTTAGTTACAGTTCCTGTTACTTTTGTTTCTTGGAAACGATTGGTCACTATGTTACATAGCTGTTCACTATGATTCATATTGTAAGAACTAATCCCCAGCTGACAGGCCACTGTACTTGCTGCCTGCTTATCCCAAATAAGCCCTAGACCACCAGAGATCACGGTCTGATATTTTGGGAATGATCCCAGTCAGTGCCCGTCAACATAAATAAATCTGCCTCCAAATCCTGGGTGTCGCTTTGGTGTTTCTGTTTGCGGTTGCAATATGCATTTATTTCTTTGGTCTCTAGTGAGTCTTTGAAGATTTTTCAGCACATGTTTCAGAAATGATTCTTTGGAAGAAAATGGATAGGCCTGGGGAGGAAAGGAAAATCTTGAGATTGAAGAAGTCAGTGGCAGGGGTCAGGGAACAGTGGAGGGGCAGGAATAATAGCAGTTTTAGAAACAGAAATAAGATACGCTGTGATGAAGGTGGATTGAGCTAGAAACTGGCTATAGAGCCAAGGAAAAGAGGAGAAAAGCGACTTTTCAAAAGTTCCTGCCTGGCTGTCTAGAGTCTGGGATGCTCCTAACCAACAAAAGACCCAGAGCAGGAGCTGCCTGCAGGAGAGTGTGGCTTGAAATGTGGAGATAGGCTGCCCCCTGCCGGAGAACAAACAAACACTCCCACATGTCTCTGAAACCCAGTACAATTTAAATTAGCACCAAGTGAAGGTGAGTCCATAGTAGCTGGTTTTTCAAATACCTAATAACTAATCAATCAGGAAACATTCAAAAAGTTCTGTACAGAGATCAAGAGTCCATCCAAAAAAGCCGTTACACCTTCTAATTACTCAGAAGTAACTTAGTGGTGAAAGTAGCTAAGAATATTATCTGTAGAGGAAAAAAACAAAGGTATACCTTTTAGGAATATTAATTTGTTCAGCGAGTATAAATAACATTAACAGCTAATGTGACACCAAATACTCAAGGCTATCAACCACTGCCTCTCTTTCTCACGCCCAGCCTCACTGCCTTCCCCTCATTCCTCAAACACTAATTTAGACCTGAGACTGCAGTTCTGGTTCCCTCTACTGAGAATACCTTTTCTTGAAATACAGGCAAGCAATAGAATCAAATCCTCCCAGGCTAGGTGCGGAATATTTTGTTCCCCTGATAACTGTTTTGAAGGTGCACACTGCATCCGTCTCACCACACCCACACACGTGCCCTCGGCCTGTCCTGACTCCCTCTCGTGTGAGCTTCATGTTTGTCTGTATCAGCTCTAACCACTGTGGGTTTTACCTGTCTATGTTATTGTCTGCTTTTCCTCTAGGTAAGGGGCTTCATGAGGGCAGGAACCTCGGGTTCTCCTTGTTCACTACTCCATCTCCCACAGCTGGAACATCTTGGAATGTGCGGGTCTGTCACTCAGCATTTGATGGGTGAGCACTGATTGTTGGGTCCGGCAGGGTCCCGTGCTCCCCAGCACCTCACCTTGGGCCTGCTGGGCTGGGGTGGCTCAGTATCTTTGTAGCCCTTCATCCTCTCCTGATGGCTCCTCCTGGCCCTTTTCCCAGGTCTGGGGAAGCTCATGGAGGAGTAAGGGGACTCACTTTGACTTTTCCCCTATACAGGGAATCAGAAAGCCGGGACTTGGCTGTCACTGTGTTCAGCTTCTGAAGGGACCCCTGCCTGCACACTGAGGGGGACTCCTTGGGGCTCTCCAGCCTGCAGAGCAAAGTGCTTAGGCTTTAAGTGAGAAACTAGTGGATGCTCTGAACTGGGGCCATGGGGGAGGCAAAAAAAACCAAATGGCTCCACTTGTTTAAAAGACAGGCCGAATACCAGATGGCAGTGTTTTTATAGTATGTATATTCTTT